GAATCAGCACAATGAAGGGAACAAGATGCTGTTGGAATTTCGATTATTCATCTTCCACCCGTAGTCAATTTTCTTTTTGCAAAAACCGATCAGTATTGAACGTATATAAACTTTATATACGTTCAATACTGATCGGTTTTTGCAAAAAGAAAATTGAAAAGATATTTCGAACCGTGATATCAAATCATAATATTGGGGTCTACAACTCCTGATAGCAGAGTGATATACGATTTCTTTTCAAAATATTTTCAAAATGTAAACGTTTGTACATGCCAGAAACTGCACATTGTCAGGGTTGTTATGCGGAGGTTAACAGTGCTGCTGGTGATATGGCCGGTTATTATCAGCAAAATGAACGAACTCCTCTCTGAACCTTTGATCAGAGAGGATGGGGATTTTATAATTGTCGGAATATTTAACATCGGAATACTGTAAGTTAACATGCATCATGCATGAGAGGAGTGTGTTTTGAATCATTAACTATTTGATAAAAACGACTGTTCAAAGATGAAAACCTATTTGGAAAGTTTAACTATTCATTAGTAACTTCAGTGGTGCACTTTGATACCAATTAAATATCCGGTTCATCCCACAGGAATCAGGAAACATTAGAATGCACACTAATCAATTCCTCTGTCTACTGGCTGGAGAAAGTGCGAGGTCAAGGAGATGGTTCCTTAAGATTACATTTGATTCTAAGATATGACATGTTCTCGAGGTCAAGGAGATGGTTCCTTAAGATTACATTTGATTTTAGGATATGACATGTTCTCGAGGTCAAGGAGATGGTTCCTTAAGATTACATTTGATTCTAGGATATGACATGTTCTCGAGGTCAAGGAGATGGTTCCTTAAGATTACATTTGATTCTAGGATATGACATGTTCTCGAGGTCAAGGAGATGGTTCCTTAAGATCACATTTGATTCTAGGATATGGCATGTTCTCGAGGTCAAGGAGATGGTTCCTTAAGATTACATTTGATTCTAGGATATGACATGTTCTCGAGGTCAAGGAGATGGTTCCTTAAGATTACATTTGATTCTAGGATATGACATGTTCTCGATGTCAAGGAGATGATTCCTTAAGATTACATTTGATTCTAGGATATGACATGTTCTCGAGGTCAAGGAGATGGTTCCTTAAGATTACATTTGATTCTAGGATATGACATGTTCTCGAGGTCAAGGAGATGGTTCCTTAAGATTACATTTGATTCTAGGATATGACATGTTCTCGAGGTCAAGGAGATGGTTCCTTAAGATTACATTTGATTCTAGGATATGACATGTTCTCGAGGTCAAGGAGATGGTTCCTTAAGATTACATTTGATTTTAGGATATGACATGTTCTCGAGGTCAAGGAGATGGTTCCTTAAGATTACATTTGATTCTAGGATATGACATGTTCTCGAGGTCAAGGAGATGGTTCCTTAAGATTACATTTGATTCTAGGATATGACATGTTCTCGAGGTCAAGGAGATGATTCCTTAAGATTACATTTGATTCTAGGATATGACATGTTCTCGAGGTCAAGGAGATGGTTCCTTAAGATTACATTTGATTCTAGGATATGACATGTTCTCGAGGTCAAGGAGATGGTTCCTTAAAATTACATTTGATTCTAGGATATGACATGTTCTCGAGGTCAAGGAGATGGTTCCTTAAGATTACATTTGATTCTAGGATATAACATGTTCTCGAGGTCAAGGAGATGGTTCCTTAAGATTACATTTGATTCTAGGATATGACATGTTCTCGAGGTCAAGGAGATGGTTCCTTAAGATTACATTTGATTCTAGGATATGACATGTTCTCGAGGTCAAGGAGATGGTTCCTTAAGATTACATTTGATTCTAGGATATAACATGTTCTCGAGGTCAAGGAGATGGTTCCTTAAGATTACATTTGATTCTAGGATATGACATGTTCTCGAGGTCAAGGAGATGGTACCTTAAGATTACATTTGATTCTAGGATATGACATGTTCTCGAGGTCAAGGAGATGGTACCTTAAGATTACATTTGATTCTAGGATATAACATGTTCTCGAGGTCAAGGAGATGGTTCCTTAAGATTACATTTGATTCTAGGATATGACATGTTCTCGAGGTCAAGGAGATGGTTCCTTAAGATTACATTTGATTCTAGGATATGACATGTTTTCGAGGTCAAGGAGATGGTTCCTTAAGATTACATTTGATTCTAGGATATGACATGTTCTCGAGGTCAAGGAGATGGTTCCTTAAGATTACATTTGATTCTAGGATATGACATGTTCTCGAGGTCAAGGAGATGGTACCTTAAGATTACATTTGATTCTAGGATATGAAATGTTCTCGAGGTCAAGGAGATGGTTCCTTAAGATTACATTTGATTCTAGGATATGACATGTTCTCGAGGTCAAGGAGATGGTTCCTTAAGATTACATTTGATTCTAGGATATGACATGTTCTTGAGGTCAAGGAGATGGTTCCTTAAGATTACATTTGATTCTAGGATATGACATGTTCTTGAGGTCAAGGAGATGGTTCCTTAAGATTACATTTGATTCTAGGATATGACATGTTCTTGAGGTCAAGGAGATGGTTCCTTAAGATTACATTTGATTTTAGGATATGACATGTTCTCGAGGTCAAGGAGATGGTTCCTTAAGATTACATTTGATTCTAGGATATGACATGTTCTCGAGGTCAAGGAGATGGTTCCTTAAGATTACATTTGATTCTAGGATATAACATGTTCTCGAGGTCAAGGAGATGGTTCCTTAAGATTACATTTGATTCTAGGATATGACATGTTCTCGAGGTCAAGGAGATGGTTCCTTAAGATTACATTTGATTCTAGGATATGACATGTTCTCGAGGTCAAGGAGATGGTTCCTTAAGATTACATTTGATTCTAGGATATGACATGTTCTCGAGGTCAAGGAGATGGTTCCTTAAGATTACATTTGATTCTAGGATATAACATGTTCTCGAGGTCAAGGAGATGGTTCCTTAAGATTACATTTGATTCTAGGATATGACATGTTCTTGAGGTCAAGGAGATGGTTCCTTAAGATTACATTTGATTTTAGGATATGACATGTTCTCGAGGTCAAGGAGATGTTTCCTTAAGATTACATTTGATTCTAGGATATGACATGTTCTCGAGGTCAAGGAGATGGTTCCTTAAGATTACATTTGATTCTAGGATATGACATGTTCTCGAGGTCAAGGAGATGGTTCCTTAAGATTACATTTGATTCTAGGATATGACATGTTCTCGAGGTCAAGGAGATGGTTCCTTAAGATTACATTTGATTCTAGGATATGACATGTTCTCGAGGTCAAGGAGATGGTTCCTTAAGATTACATTTGATTCTAGGATATGACATGTTCTCGAGGTCAAGGAGATGGTTCCTTAAGATTACATTTGATTCTAGGATATGACATGTTCTCGAGGTCAAGGAGATGGTTCCTTAAGATTACATTTGATTCTAGGATATGACATGTTCTCGAGGTCAAGGAGATGGTTCCTTAAGATTACATTTGATTCTAGGATATGACATGTTCTCGAGGTCAAGGAGATGGTTCCTTAAGATTACATTTGATTCTAGGATATAACATGTTCTCGAGGTCAAGGAGATGGTTCCTTAAGATTACATTTGATTCTAGGATATGACATGTTCTCGAGGTCAAGGAGATGGTTCCTTAAGATTACATTTGATTCTAGGATATGACATGTTCTCGAGGTCAAGGAGATGGTTCCTTAAGATTACATTTGATTCTAGGATATGACATGTTCTCGAGGTCAAGGAGATGGTTCCTTAAGATTACATTTGATTCTAGGATATGACATGTTCTCGAGGTCAAGGAGATGGTTCCTTAAGATTACATTTGATTCTAGGATATGACATGTTCTCGAGGTCAAGGAGATGGTTCCTTAAGATTACATTTGATTCTAGGATATGACATGTTCTCGAGGTCAAGGAGATGGTTCCTTAAGATTACATTTGATTCTAGAATATGACATGTTCTCGAGGTCAAGGAGATGGTTCCTTAAGATTACATTTGATTCTAGGATATGACATGTTCTCGAGGTCAAGGAGATGGTTCCTTAAGATTACATTTGATTCTAGGATATGACATGTTCTCGAGGTCAAGGAGATGGTTCCTTAAGATTACATTTGATTCTAGGATATGACATGTTCTCGAGGTCAAGGAGATGGTTCCTTAAGATTACATTTGATTCTAGAATATGACATGTTCTCGAGGTCAAGGAGAAGGTTCCTTAAGATTACATTTGATTCTAGGATATAACATGTTCTCGAGGTCAAGGAGATGGTTCCTTAAGATTACATTTGATTCTAGGATATGAAATGTTCTCGAGGTCAAGGAGATGGTTCCTTAAGATTACATTTGATTCTAGGATATGACATGTTCTCGAGGTCAAGGAGATGGTACCTTAAGATTACATTTGATTCTAGGATATGAAATGTTCTCGAGGTCAAGGAGATGGTTCCTTAAGATTACATTCGATTTTAGGATATGACAAGGAATACAATACAATACATGACATCTAGCCGAATGAACCTCGGTGCAAATTTTGTAATCATTAAATCACATACACCATATATATGTGATTTATATGTCCGCTTTATGCTTTCAATTTTCGAATAAAATGTGTATCTTCACTATAAGTCTTGTTTGTTACAAAATACAGTACTTTTAGTTCAATTCGCTAAATTTTTCTAAAGATTGAACTTTCGTTTTGTGTTAATGACTAAATGACTGATATCCCCCCCCCCCCCCCCCTGTTATCAACAAATTATCAATGGCCGCAAAGTAGACAGAATCTTATAAGATTCCATCTTAATTAGGAACGAGAATAGATTTTGATCGTACAATGTAGGTACTTTTTGAAAACTGACTAAGGGCGTTTGAATTTAGAAAAATTCATTTTGATAACTCTCTTCCCCCCCCCCCCACCCCAAACCATCTACTAACAGCGAACTCACCAGACTGTAAGGAAGCATTTCTAATTTCGTCTGCTATTTTTGCTTTCTTTTGTAGACTAGACTCATTATCCTCATCATCCTCTTCTTTCTCTTCTTCATCTTCTTTCTCTTCTTCATCTACTTCCTCTTCTTCCTCTTCTTCCTTTTCTTCCCGGATCACTAACTCGTTTCTAACTCGACCAGGGGGCGATATCCCTGGACTGTTCCTTTCTTCAATTGTCTTTAACTCCGCATCCACTAAAAGTATAAAAACAATAAACATCAAACTTCTGTACTGATTGTTCTATCGAATATGTTTAAAAACATATTCAACTGTTTCACATAAGACGATTTTAAAAATATCACAATGAGAGTTGGGGTTGATGAAGAAGTACCTCTGCCAATGTTGCTGTCTTGAATTAAGTTGTGTGTGTCTGAGTCAGCTGAGTCTGTATCCCCAGTGTAGTCGCTCTGTGTATCTTCTCCGTCAGTGCGGGACGAGTACTGAGGTGGGTTTAAGTAGTAGTAACTATGGTAACTAGTAGTGTAACTATAGCAACAGTGCGGGACGAGTACTGAAGTAGGTTTAAGTAGTAGATTTTTTTTTTATTTCAAAATTCAAATAAACTTTACATCAATGTATTACAGTTATATTCAATAAAAAGACCACAATATCTCCTGTGAAGCAAAAACATGGAAAAAGAGAGCTAGAAAAATATTCATGATACTCAACACTACCAGACTCAGCTGGAGTGAGAAACAATATGTAAAAACATCAAGGTAAAATTTATTTCGGCTGAACCAAAACACGGTGGCAAGACCATAATTACATTGGTGCCGACCCTACATAAAATCATTAATAAATAATCAAGAGAACAAATTTAAATGTATACGATACCTTCTTGCTACTACTCCACAAACTTACACGACATAACAACAAAATAACATAATTAAATAATATTATAATAGAACAATCTATAATCTAGCCACTCACGTACTGCGTGACGCGCCATTGTTTCGGGTTGTTTCATAAGAGTAAAAACGGCGCGTTCTACTGCAGGTGCGAGGGGCAAATTATAGAGAGTATGACATTCATAAAGTAAAATATATATATAATAATATTCCATGATGGGCTGTCTAATCAGGCCAGCATACGTCAGAAGACCAGAGAAATTCAGTTAGCTTTGTTTTGAAAATAGAAATTTTCTCAGTCTGTCTAACATAGGCTGGCAGTGCATTCCACAGAAGCATTGTTCTATAAAAGAAGCTGTTTCTGAAACTATCGCAGTTTGGTACAATAGAGCAGGTATATGTGCTGGTGTCAAGTCCTTCAATGACTGATGCCGTGCTCCTTGTGTACCTCATTGTTTCAGCTTCAACAACAGTAATATATTCAGGTAGAGATATACTTACCAAATCATTTACTATTTTATAGAAGAGCGTAATTGAATTATGGATGAACTTAGATCTAATGGGTAGAATTTTAAGCCCCTTCTGCTTCTCATAGAATACAATATCACTATAATGATCAAACTGTTGTCCATTGATCCATTTGATCGCTCTTTTCTGGATTGCCTCAAACTTCGACATGTGTGTCGATCGCTGAGGACACCATATAACTGAGCAATGTTCAAAGATTGATCTTACAATGGTAAGGTAGAAAGCCCTCTTTTGGCGTTTATCCATGGTAAAATGACAGGTTCTCTTTAAGAGCCCAAGCTTCGAGCTTGCTTTAGATATCAATTGATCACAATGTGCACCCCACAGAAACCTGTTGTTCATTATTACACCAAGATCTGTATGGGATGCCACATAATCAATTATGACTTCATTAAGATTATACCAATAAATATTAAAAGGAAGATTGTCTAATACATTTCTTTGCAGAGTTACAGATAACACCTTACACTTAGAAGGGTGAAAAGTCATTTTGTTATCGATTGACCAGGCAAACAACCTGTCTATATCTCCTTGGAGAATATAGTGGTCTTCAAAGCATTCGATGACCCTCCAAATTTTGGTGTCATCTGCATACAATGCTACATTTGTATCCTCCGAAACACACGAGAACATGTCGTTGATGAATAGAACAAACAGAAGTGGTCCCAGAATAGATCCCTGGGGCACTCCTGATTGCACGGGAAGCATGCTTGAGACAGCTCCGCCTACAACAACCTGCTGTCGTCTGTCTTGTAAATACGACTTTAAAAATCTAAGCATCAGACCATCAATACCATATACATTTTTTAGCTTGCGAAGGATTAAGTCATGTGATACACTGTCAAATGCCTTAGCAAAATCAAAATAAACAATGTCGGATCTTGACTTATTGTTCAGGGCCAGTGCAAGGTTGTCTGTGAATGGGACCATCTGGGTAGTGCAAGACTTCCCATTCACAAAACCGTGTTGTCTACAGTCGATTAACCCTTCACAAGCTGCGAGCAACTCTTTCGAAATACAACGTTCAAAAACTTTCATAACTAAGCATGTCAGTGAGATGGGTCTGTAATTTTCAACAGATCCTTTTTCACCCTTCTTGTGTACCGGAACAACAGAAGCAAGCTTCCATTCCTCCGGCACACATCCAGTCACAAAAGAGCTGTTGAAAATAATGGTTAGAGGCTTTGCAAGAGTGCTCGCACAATTTTTTAACACAGTGCCATGGATACCATCTGGACCTGCGGCTTTACCCGGTTTAACCCCTTTCAAAATTAACAAAACATCCAACACGTGAAATCTCAAATCCATAAAATTGTTACTGGAGCTCATGTCGATGTCAATGTCATATGAGCTACTTGAGGAGAATTGTTGATAGAAGTATTCATTGAATAAGCTAGCCTGTTCAACTGGTGTGTTCCTAAAACGATCACCGTATCGGACCGTTTCAGGTATCCTAGTCGACTTAGACTTTGATTTCACGTGTGTCCAAAACTTTTTGGAAATAAGGGCAGAATCAGAATCATCTTCGACACTGAGTCTCATCTTTTCGTTCATTATGCGTTTAAAATCTTTGCGGTACTGACGGAACTTTTCAAGATCAGACTCATTGCCAGATTCATTAGCCTTTTCTCTCCATTTCTCTTTATCTCTCAGAACCCTATCACAATCAGAGTCATACCAAGGCGGCTGAAACTCACACTTAACATTTTTTTTCTTTGGGATATATTCATTGCAGAGTTTAATCAGACCATCTTTGAAAAGAGGCCAGGAAATGTGTGGATCATGAGACCCAGCCACATTATCCCAATTGACCCGCCTCAGAGCAAAGTTCAAGCCGTCCCAATTGGCTTTGGTATAGTTATATACTTTGCGTTTAGGAGACTTTCTGCGGCTGACATTGAAGTTTATCCCAAAGTTGATACCAAAGTGGTCAGATAAGCACGCCTCATTATGATCCAGTATTTTTAAATTGGTAATAATATTAGGGACATTTGTGAACAGTAAATCAAGCACATTCCCTGCTTTATGTGTAGGTTCATTAATTAGTTGAGTGTGTCCTAGGTCACCAGTAAGGAAATCCAGGAAGCCATTTTGCAGTTCACAGGATGTCTCACCAGCAGGCCAAGAAACACAGTTCAAATTCATATCTCCTATTAAAACATGCTTGTCAATCTTCTTTTTTAAGGCAAGAGTTCTAAAATAATTAGAAAATTCCACGTAATTGTCGTCGCTTAAAGTCCCCACTCTATAAAAAGTCGAGATACACAACTTTCTACCAGTCGGAAGCTTTAAGACAACAGACAATAACTCAGCTTGAGCTTTCACTACAGCTATCCTAGTACTAGTAACATCTAGATCAAATCTATGAGCTATTAAGACTCCACCCCCGTTTTTTCTAAACCTCTTAGGTCGTTCAGGATCCCATGGATGAGTTTTGAGGGACCTGTCCAGCCTAAAGATTTTATAACCAGAAGGTAAAATCTCACTATCCAATATTGACTTTTTCAGCCAAGTCTCATTTAAAATAACAATATCAGGTTTGTTTGTATACAAAAAACCATGTAGTTCATGTACTTTCGTCATGTTAAGTGGTGGGTTAACTGACGCAAGGTCACGAGTGTTAATTAGACCTTGTACATTGTTATAAAAAACAGATATAGGCTTTTTCCCAGGTCCTGGATTTAAAAGTGACGTGTTACATATAATAAGCAATATTAGGTTCAGGGAGAAAGTGTAGATAACCAGAGCAGTAAGAACACCAATCCATCTCAGAAAGAATTGGAATGATCTTCTCAGAGCAGATGATTTACGACACTTTAAATAATAATATCCTTTATCAAAATATCTCAGAATAAATGCTGTCATAATTATTAGGAAATACAGGTTAATACTACTATAAAGGCTGGGAAGATTACCAGGTCTACCAATATGACTAATATTCTTTAATCCACTGTCCACACGTGTTGATAGATCCAACGAAATAACAATAATAAATAACAAAATATACAGATATAAAATTAGTGAACTGACAAATAATCCAATGGGTGAACATAACTGGGACAACACAGACACGTAGCAGACTTTTCTTTTACCACAAACTTTTCGAACAACAGAATTAAACTTTCCAGTGCATATGCGGTGTTGCTGGTCATTTATTCCCATGTGTAGCAATGTCACGGTTGTGTTTTACCCAGGTGTATCTATCACTCAAAATTCACTTTTTAATACATCATCTAAATAATTTATGTAACAAATATGAATCATACTTAAATACCAATCTCAGTAACCCAACGGATTAAACCATGTTGAGTGAATGAGAAAGATATAGTGTCTTGCTAACACACCCATACCCCTAGCATTGGGGTGAATATCCCACTTCTTGGATTCCAAACTATACTTAGGAAATAACTGGTAGTTCCTGCCGCCCCATGAACTAAGGAAACTACTAAAGACATCGAGGTAAAATAATTTAAATTTGGAACAAAGACTAAAGAGTAGTTTGTTCATAGAGACCACGTTTTGTTCTCCCTTGGGGTTACCGTTAGCAGGTATAGGGAGGAGGGACTGGACAAAGATCTTTGCTGAAGGAGCTAAGGATTTAATTTTTGACATAAAGTTCTGCAGAGGGCTTTTAAGGTGTAATATGCCAGTCTGACAGTATCGAATGTCGTTAGTCCCTACACACACAAACAGTTTCTTAATCTCTAGATCAGGGTGGTCTCTCACAAATTGCTCGATTGAGTGTAATACAGCATCAATCTTGCGACCACCCTTGGCGACTTTGAAAACTGTCTGTTTACCCTTGGCCAGTTTTTCAATATCCAGTCGCTCAAAATATGAATCTCCAGCGAGAAGTATGATCTTCTTCTTAGGGGGGGCTGAATGGAGGTCAGTGTTAGGAGGAAGATGTTGAGGAGGAGTAGAAGGATGATGAGGAGTAGAAGGATGATGAGGAGTAGGAGGATGATGAGGAGTAGGAGGATGATGAGGAGAAGGAGAGGAAAGAGAAGATGTAGGAGTGTTGAGTGGGTCAGTTAGGTTCCTAAAGGAAAGACTGTATCTGACACCAGTCTCAAGGCCCGGAGGAACTCTATGCAGTAGTCTGGACTGACAGCCAGCCTTCATAATATTGAGAGACTGGTCTGTCGCAGGCACAGAGAATTCTGAGGGAGGAGGGGTACCTTTCCTGAGTGAGAGGTTGTTGTCGTTCCTTATAAAGTACAGTTCTCTTGCTGCACCGAACGACACCGTACAAATATCACTGTCCTGATCTATTAATGGTTCGTTGTCGTCGTGGTAGTTCAGGTTAGCTCCTTTGCAGGACATACAGCTGACTAAACAAGCAGTCATATTCCCAGAGGTGGCCTTATTGCCGTTGACAATGTTCATCAATTCAACAATCCTGGGGAACTGACTGATTGGTTGGGGCTTGTTGACCATCCTTCCATACTTGTAGGACTCAATGCGGGGACTCAGCCACAAGGTCTTTACTCTCGTTCCTCTTGTGCGAATCTTCATTGTTTTAAGTTCATCCAATACCCCATCAGCCAGGGGCTTTGGAAGGTCAAGCTGGACATGTTTAACAAGATCCGAAAACTTCTTAGGCTCAGGAGTTGAGGGATTAATAAAGGACTCTTCAGATGAGGTGAAAGGTGTCGGATGATCTTCTGGGAGGATATCGATGGCATCTTTAAATTCTTCTTCATCGTCATTAATGAGGGACAGAATGTGATTTTTCTGCTCCTGAGAGGCACTGAGAAGAAAATCAGTGATGAAGGAAGGTAGAAGTGGGGTTGGGAGAGTTTGCATCAATGGACAAAGTTACACCAGGTGATCAGGATGGCAATCGGGGTAATAGGCAGCAGTCACCAGACATTCCCCGTAAAATGGAATGTAACGGCCTGAAAATAGAGACGGGCAGAGGGGAGTAAAACTTATCTGGGGGGTAAATTAAGTATCAATATAGATCAGATCAGAGAAGGAAATAGATCAATCAATGATAACAATCTAAAGTTATTTAAGGTAAAATGTGGATCTAAAATGAAATATATATTCAATTACTAGCCTGATTGAGAAGTTTAGGACCCCAGACAAGCTGGGGGATGCTAGGAGAACTGCCGCTGCCTACCCTTCATGCCACCTTCACAACCAGGGACTTCGGCTGGCTTTTACTCTGACATAGGCTGACTTCCGTTGCCATAGTTTTTAGACATGCCTAAAATTATTTGTTATATAGTAGTGTTGAAAGTATTAAAACTATATAGTAACAGTGGGTTTAGACTTCATCTAAATAACTGATGAAGTTTAACTTATCTCTAACAGTAGTCGTAATCAAGCTGGTGCAACAGCATTTCAAAATGGACATCTTAATCTGGATCATAGAAGTGCACATACCCGAATAAGGGAATGTGTCCGTGTCAAGAAGTGCACATACCCGAATAGGGGAATGTGTCCGTGTCAAGAAGTGCACATACCCGAATAAGGGAATGTGTCCGTGTCAAGAAGTGCACATACCCGAATAAGGGAATGTGTCCGTGTCAAGAAGTGCACATACCCGAATAAGGGAATGTGTCTGTGTCAAAAAGTGCACATACCCGAATAAGGGAATGTGTCCGTGTCAAGAAGTGCACATACCCGAATAAGGGAATGTGTCTGTGTCAAGAAGTGCACATACCCGAATAAGGGAATGTGTCCGTGTCAAGAAGTGCACATACCCGAATAAGGGAACGTGTCCGTGTCAAGAAGTGCACATACCCGAATAAGGGAATTTGTCCGTGTCAAGAAGTGCACATACCCGAATAAGATCGAAGTACCAGAGAGGCAGGATGATGAGACCGGAAGTGAGTCCTATCCACAGGATTATTAGAGCACAGTAGACTAGGTTAGCTGCTAGCTGTACGGAACCTGAAATAAACATGTGACCTACCTCATTAACTGACTTGCAGTGTTGAGTGCACATAACGGGCGTGTGGGGATATTAACCCATACTCAATAACCCGAAGTTTGTTTGACGGAGAGGAGAAGATAAAGATGGGAAAGAAGAGAAAGAAGAGAAGAAGAGGATAAAAAAAATATTGAGTCTAGCCTTCAAAAGAAAGCAAAAATAGGCAGACGCAATTAGATAATGCATCCTTACAGTCTAGGTAAGTTTGCTGTTAGTAGATGGTTTGGAGTGGGGGGGGGGGGGGGGGGAGAGTTCTCAAAATGAATTTTTCTAAATTAAACTCCCTTAGTCAATTTTCAAAAAGTAGGTCTCATTGTACGATCAAAATCTATTTTTCTGGCAGCTGTTGGAACCCCCTAGGACGCATTCTCGTTCATAATTAAGAGGAATCTTATAAGATTCTGTCTATTTACGCCATAAATAATTTTCGTTGATAACTGTCATTAACACAAAAAGAAAGGTTCAATCTTTAGAAAAATGTAGCGAAATGAACTAAAAGTACTGTATTTTGTAACAAACGAGACTTTATAGTAAGATACACATTTTATCCGAAATTGAAAACAGAAAGAGCGAACATTATAAATCCAAATATATAATATGTAATGTAATGGTTATGTGATTTAATGATTACAAAATTTGGGCACCGAGGTCCCATTTCTGCTAGATGTCATGTATTGTATTGTATTCTTGTCATATCCTAGAATCGAATGTAACTTAAGGAAACCATCTCCTGACCACGAGCACATGTTTCATATCTAGATAGAATCAAATGTAATCGTAAGGAACATCTCTTGACAACAGAGAAAAGTCATATCCTAGAAATCAAATGTAATTTTAAGGAACCATCTCCTTGACTCGAGAACATGTCATATCCTAAATCAATTGTAATATTAAGGAACCATCTCCTTGACCGCGGGAGAACCTGTATAATTCCTAGAACTCAAATGTATCTTAAGGAACCATTTCTCCTTGACCTCGAAGAACAATGTATATCCTAGAATCCAATGAATCTGAGGTACCATCTCCTTGAACCTCGAGACATTGTTTATCTAGAATCCAAATGTTGATCTTAAGGAACCATCTCCTTGACCTCTGAGAACATGTCTTATCTAGAATCAAATTTAATCTTAAGGAACCATATCCTTGACCGAGAGACATGTCATATCCTAGTAATCAAATGTAATCTTATGGAACCATCTCCTTGACCTCTGAGAACATGTTTATCCTAGAATTCAAATGTAATCTTAAGGAACCATCTCTTGACTCGAGAACTTGTCATATCCTAGAATAAATATAATCTTAAGGTTACCATCTCTTGGACCTCCGAGACATGTCATATCCTAGAATCAATGTAATCTTAAGGAAACATTCCTTGACCGCGAGAACATGTCAATCCTAGCATCAATGTAATCGTAAGGAACCATATCTTGACCTCGAGAACATGTCATACCTTGAATCAAATGTAATCTTAAGGAACCATCTCCTTGACCACTGCCGGGGTCGTCATACAATCTCCTGTTGTCTTCCCTCTTTTACTCTCGTCTTCACACTACTCGTCTACATTCCTATCAGGTAGCTTTTAAATTTGTGTATAATTTAAATCGTCTGTCTGAAAGTATCACAAAAACACTATTCACGTTTACCATCATCACGCTGCTACTTGACGGGGGGGGGGGGGGGGGGGGGTGACGGAAACTTAGTGTGACTGAAAACAATAATCCCGATCAGATCGTTTAGAAAAAGACTAATAGTACAAGTGGAGTTGATGGAGGTGACGGCGCTGATTCTAGCGAACATAACGTTCCTGACGCTAGCTCACGCGCAGCACCAGTCCCCTGTGTGTACAGGTCTCGTGTTCGGAGTTCAGTATCTCTACCTCGTTACTATAGCCTGGAGCCTTGTTGCTGCTCTCGTCTTCTACAGACAGGTACGTACTGAGATTCTACAGACAGGTACGTACTGAGATTCTACAGACAGGTATGTACTGGGATTCTACAGACAGGTACGTACTGAGATTCTACAGACAGGTACGTACTGAGATTCTACAGACAGGTACGTACTAAGATTCTACAGACAGGTACGTACTGAGATTCTACAGACAGGTACGTACTGAGATTCTACAGACAGGTACGTACTGAGATTCTACAGACAGGTACGTACTGAGATTCTATAGACAGATACGTACTGAGATTCTACAGACAGGTACGTACTGAGATTCTACAGACAGGTATGTACTGAGATTCTACAGACAGGTACGTACTGAGATTCTATAGACAGATACGTACTGAGATTCTACAGACAGGTACGTACTGAGATTCTACAGACAGGTACGTACTGAGATTCTACAGACAGATACGTACTGAGATTCTATAGACAGATACGTACTGAGATTCTACAGACAGGTACGTACTGAGATTCTACAGACAGGTATGTACTGAGATTCTACAGACAGGTACGTACTGAGATTCTACAGACATGTACGTACTAAGATTCTACAGACAGATACGTACTGAGATTCTACAGACAGGTACGTACTGAGATTCTACAGACAGGTACGTACTGAGATTCTACAGACAGGTATGTACTGAGATTCTACAGACAGGTACGTACTGAGATTCTACAGACAGGTACGTACTGAGATTCTACAGACAGGTACGTACTGAGATTCTACAGACAGGTACGTACTGAGATTCTACAGACAGGTACGTACTGAGATTCTACAGACAGGTACGTACTGAGATTCAACAGACAGGTACGTGCTGAGATTCTACAGACAGATAAGTACTGAGATTCTACAGACAGGTACGTACTGAGATTCTACAGACAGATACGTACTGAGATTCTACAGACAGGTACGTACAAAATGTAAAACTTCGTTACAATTCACGACACTATTTTAGTTGCCACATATCCAACAGATAGTAAAGGCGATACACACGTACGGCAAGAGTTACGACCACACTTTCAAAATATCCTGTGTTCTCTGCTGGGTCCTACCCCTCATCTTCCCCTCCTTTGCTCTCATCTACTCTGACAAACATCATCTCAACTATCTAGCTGATATGGATGGCGAATTTGGGTAAACATATTTTACCTTTCTAAGAGGGGGGGGGGGGGGGGGGCAACATGCAACGTTACGCCACTGAGTACGATCTTGCTAATAATATTGAGTAAATGATCAATCACCTAAATATTTTACAATTAAAAACAGCAACTTGTGAAAACGATTTCACTAAAAATAAAGAAGTATTGTGATTCCTAGCTAGTTGCTAGGCAACATAGCTAGTTGCTAGGTAACATTTTTTCTTAAACAGCTGCTGGATATCTGAGACGTGGAAGATCTACACGTTTATTGTGCCTATTTTGGCAGTTGTTGCCGTGAACACTTTCTTAGGCATCCGAGTGGTCATTATCATGATCAGAGCCAGTAGCAATCGCGGTGATGACAAAGACGACACGTGGAAAATACAAACGGTAATTTAATAATTCCTTTATCTCGAACAGATTCCGTTAAATCAATAATTGCTGAATCAATAATTTAAGTAATACCCCCCCCCCCCCTTAGTAACACATTGGTAACACCCTAGTAACACCTTAGTAACACCTTAGTAACATCTAGTAACACATATCTTCTCAGAGGCACATCAAGTCAATACTCTCACTAATCATGCTCTTTGGAGTATCCTTCCTCTTGTCCCTCTTTACCTACGGACCTCAAGCTCTCGTCTTTCAGTACCTCTTCATCATCTTCACTTGCTCCCAGGTACTTTTAGAAGATCTTTAATTATTTGTTTTACAGTGATCATATTTGACTGTTTCTTTTTTCACAGTTTGGACAATTTCACTCCGCTTACATGCTCGCTTTGAAGCATTTGCTCCGTTTCTGCACTATACGTTAATATTCATCCGGATTAAACCTGACCATTAAATGAGGCTAAACACGTCTTCGTCAACATCATTACTTTTTCAGGGTCTATTTATTTTCATCTTGTTCGTCCCCCTGCGACCGGAGGTTCACTCTGAATGGAAGACTATACTGGGGTCCAGTGCAGGTGCTCGCCTCATGAGCCCGAGGTACAGCTCCCGAACCAGCCAGGCCACCAACAGCAGTCTTTTCAACAAAACCAATAACAAGATCTTCGTTCGGAAGGACTCTGTCGTCGACCGATGCGTTCCTTCTTAAATCACCTGCATTGATGATATATATTCAGAATACCACTCAGATTACACTTATCAACTAAGCAACACAGTCGTTATTTTCCGTCTAAGAATTTTTGACAATTCTATCGTAGCCAAAACGATCACTTTTTGAAAGCATCCGTTTGAAACTTTGTTACTTTTCACTTTAACATTAGTCAGAATCCGAATTATATTTTGTGAAATGAAATTCATTTACTATAGCAATTTGTTCGACTTTTTCCAACCCTGTCAATAGTTGATCCCATTTTGAGTTATGAATTATACTCATTGTATTTTTAAAGTATACTTTATTCGGACCATTTTAAACTAAACTCTTTTGTCAAAATGAAAAGGGCAAAGTTGAAGTAGGGGTGTACTAGTACTACTAAATCAGAAATACATCGGTATTATAAATACTAAAAAATTTCGCAGTTTGACCGAATTTTTCTCCAGAAACCAATAAGTCAGTCAACTATAGATGGTATATGACACAATTGAGGTGCTGGAAGTTTGATTCCGGTCCGAGGAAGCTTATTACTGAAACTTTACAAAACGAAAATTCATATTTTCCAAATAATGTCCCATTTATTCAAAAATGGAAATTTCTGAACACAAATTTGACAAATTCGATGGACTTTTTGCCCAGGGACCAATTAGTCAGCTAAATGAGGTTGGTACGAGACCAAATTGAGGTACTGGAAGTCAAAATACCCGACTCAATGGAAAAATCATATTCTCCCATTTCTTGTCCCATTTTCAGATTTTGAAGACGAAATTTCCACGACCGAAATTTCACGGATGATGATTAATCACTCTACACTCGACTGTCACGTGACTTTTTCAACCCGTTCTCTAGCTGGTCCTGAACGACTATTCGAAACCCTAACTGCTAACCCTCTAATCTGACCCCAACCCTAACACTAACCCATCCTTAACAAAAGCATATGCTGAAACCCTAACCACTAACGAGAAATTATACTAACTTCCTTATACGGTCATATCACGTGATCGAGACAGTTTTTCGCCAATATCTCGTCAGGGGAGCATTTTAACCCTATGTGAATGTCATGGGGGTGATTAGGAATCAGCGTCCGAAAATACATCGATAACGATTGACGTTAGTTTCAACTGTCGGGGGCCCTTTTAGAACAATCTCGAAGATCGACTGTAGAGTGATTTAGCACGCTCGAAATTTCACAGTTTTGACCGAATTTTTCTCCAGAAACCAATTAGTCAGTCAACTATAAATGGTATATGACACAATTGAGGCGCTGAAAGTTTGATTCCGGTCCGAGGAAGCTTACTGAAACTTTACAAAACGAAAATCTGAACTGTTCCGGGCCAAGTTGAGATATATACCAGGTAACCAGGTAACCAGGTAACCAGGTAACCAGGTAACCAGGTAACCAAGTTGAGATATATGCTCCCAGAGGCCTAGCAGGCAGCAAAGAGTGTCTGCCATACTGTCATCGGGAGAATAGTACCATCCCGCCTCCCGGTAGGTAGTTATATAAAACGCATCTTGAAACGAGCGAGCGATTGAAACGAAAGATTATCATTTTGTGTATCAATGTAAAATGAGGGTATAAAGAATACAAATCAACTTTAAATAATTACAAATATCCCATCTCCACAATTGATATTATCTACAGTATACAAATTACACAGTATCAACAATATGGACAATCCAACTAGACTAGTTGTAAGGTAAGAACCAGGTAACCAGGTAACCAGATTACCAGGTAACCAGGTAACCAGGTAACCAAGTAACCAGGTAACCAGGTAACCAGGTAACCAGGTAACCAGATTACCAGGTAACCAGGTAACCAAGTAACCAGGTAACCAAGTAACCAAGTAACCAGGTAACCAAGTAACCAGGTAACCAGGTAACCAAGTAACCAGGTAACCAAGTAACCAAGTAACCAGGTAACCAAGTAACCAGGTAACCAGGTAACCAAGTAACGAGGTAACCAAGTAACCAAGTAACCAGGTAACCAAGTAACCAGGTAACCAGGTAACCAAGTAACCAGGTTACCAGGTAACCAGGTAACCAAGTAACCAAGTAACCAGGTAACCAGGTAACCAGGTAAACAATATGGACAATCCAAGACAGATAGTCTAGTTGTAAGGTAAGAATTAGTTAGATGGCGAGATCTTGTAACCAGGTAACCAGGTAACCAGGTAACCAGGTAACCAGGTAATCAGGTAACCAGGTAACCAGGTAACCTGGTAAACTTGGGAAAATAATAATGAGAGTAGAAATAGCAGACACTGGTATGTGTTACCATGGTAACACGTGACACTGTGTGTGACGGGAAATATAGCTTATTAAATAAATCACCCAATAAATAACTCGCTCAATCTTGGCGGTCAACTTCCATCTAATTTATGTTAATGTATAATGAATATGATTAAGGAGGCGAGAGTCAGTACCCTAGATCTTTAGCGTTGGAATTCGAGCGTAAAATATTTTGGGCTATTAATGCCGCAATTCTTTTGCTAAATTAAAATAGTATTAACTCTAATGACTAGGAGGAGACCTCTTCATGTAGCATGTATGCTAACTCTCCATAAATAGATAAATCATATTTCTTTTTATTTATCATCGCAAATTTTACCTTCTCAACAACACGCACGTATATGTTACTGTCACCAAGATGTAACTAGGTCGAACGGAAAAATTAGGTCTCACGCAGGCGCGGCTTATAAGTGTATTTATATGTATATTACGCGCCTGCGTGAGACCTAATTCCTGCGTGAGACCTAATTTCTCCGTTCGACCTAGTTACATCTTGGTGACAGTTAAACCTAAGTTTGTGGTAAATCGAGGTTTTACTGTTTTTGAACGATCTTAATGAGACTCTATATTGCAGAGTCCTCTCCGGCAGAGTCCCACTCTATATTGAATTCCCCGCTTTTCAAGGATCCTGATCGTTTTGCCCTGCTCGGAGGCGTCAACTCTAAGTCCTCTCCTTCGATATCAGGGTACACCGTCTTTATTAGACCTAGCGCTGACAACGGGTCATCACCTGTAGAAATACATGTGTTAGAGTAGTTAATGTTATTTCTAATCGGAATTTTGTCCCGGCCGGGACAAAATTCCGATCGCGGTCGACCCCTGGGTAAGAGTGAGGAAAATAATTTTAGATTTTTTATATCCACGCCTAAATGCATAATTTTTCCCGGGACAGTGACTTGGATTTCTAACGTGCATGAATTGGTTCCAAAACTGAAGAAATGCAGACACTTTAAAATTGTAGGCCTGTTAATGAAGACAACTCGTTACCATAGTAACACTACCAACTTAGCCTGTTAAGGAGACAGCTTTCGCGACATTATAATTACATAAGATAGCTGCATTCTCAAGTTATGACACTAGAACTAGTGTCAACTTTCACAAATTACATTATAATTACTGTTGCTCTATGTTGCTCCATTTATTTAGATTGTAAAGATAACGAGAATATACTGGCGACAGCAAGGAGGGGGCAGGACTTTAATCTTACACAACTGATCGTTAGTACTCCATACTTTGAATGGAGGTAAACAATTATATGCCCTTATGTATTGTTACAATAAACTATAATGCCTTCTTTGTTTAAACGTTAAAGAAATGGGTCCCCTACATATTAATTATACGTCAAGATAGTCAGCAGCTAACATTTCCAATATATATTTAACTGTTATGAATGAGCGTACTATACGAATATTAACCTGTCTTATTTAACATTTCTTTATGGTCAGGCATTTCCTTATGGACAGGCATTTCCTTATGGTCAGGCATTTCTTTATGGTCAGGCATTTCTTTATGGTCAGGCATTTCCTTATGGACAGGCATTTCCTTATGGTCAGGCATTTCCTTATGGTCAGGCATTTCCTTATGGTCAGGCATTTCTTTATGGACAGGCATTTCCAGATTTCCTTATGGACAGGCATTTCTTTATGGACAGGCATTTCCTTATGGACAGGCATTTCCTTATGGACAGGCATTTCCTTATGGTCAGGCATTTCTTTATGGTCAGGCATTTCTTTATGGACAGGCATTTCCTTATGGACAGGCATTTCCTTATGGTCAGGCATTTCTTTATGGTCAGGCATTTCCTTATAGTCAGGCATTTCCTTATGGACAGGCATTTCTTTATGGTCAGGCATTTCCTTATGGTCAGGCATTTCCTTATGGTCAGGCATTTCCTTATGGACAGACATTTCCTTATGGTCAGGCATTTCTTTTCACATGACATTTTGATGATTTCGGATTGTTTAGTTTAAAACTACAATAACACATAGTTGATTGGATTTTAAATTTGAACTATTTTTCCGTCGTATTACTCGTAAATGCTAGTGAACCTGCTTGTAAATGCTAGTGAACCTGCTTGTGAATGCTAGTGAACCTGCTTGGCAATACTTCAAAAATTGTTAATTTCTTTACCACCTGCTGAGCGACCAAGGATCGGGGAATAATAAAATGAAATTTGAATTTTAGAGTTAATTTAAATTATAGAGTATTTTAGACTAAATCAGAATCTATCCTGATTCAAATTCTCCTTATAGTACAGGGAAATCCGTCTGAAAAAATCGATCTGCCGACACACAAAGCTTACGAAGGATTTTTGACGTTTTTGAGTCCTAATAAGTGTCCTTTATCATGGCTGACCAACTTTTACAAACTTTTCCACGTGTCTTAAGGCCACTTTTTGCCACTTTACCACTTTTCTTGTATATCAAATATCTTTAGTTGTGAACATCATAGAAAGTTGGAGATTAATCGAGGGTGTTCATATTATCAGGAAAAAAACTTTTGTGAAGACAATTTTTACCTCAGATAATCAATTAATTGGATAATTATCAATTAGCTAATTAGCAAAAATTTAAAAATTTGTTATTGGCTCAAAATGATTGGAATAGCTTAAAACACGGAGAAAAGTAGTTTCACTTACATTTTTTTTTCAAGACTTACAAGAAAATTTTTTGCGCCAAAAGTTATCAAATTGCACGAAACGTGGAGAAAAATGCTTTAAAAAAACTTCGTGAATTTTTGTTTTCAAGAATACTAAACTCACTTATATTTGTAGTTGGAGTTTAGTAAATCTCGGCAGATTTTAGTAATCAGGAATTACTAAATCGAAATAAATAAAAGGACTGAAACTGAAAAACTTTAACCACAGGATATTAGAGTTTCATAATTAATTACAGAACATCCTTATTGATTTTCACAGAAACTGCACCAAAGGCACATTTAAGATCGAACCGATAGCCTGCTGTACTACGATATTAGCATGATATG